CTTTGAGGACCTGAAGTGTGGGTGTTAGATCCCCTGGAACTGGAAGATGGATGTGAGCTGCCATGTGGGTGCTGGGAATTGACTCCAGGTCCACTGTGGATGAGCAGCCAGTGCTCTTAACTGCTGAGCCATCTCTCCAGTCCCAGTTGGTTTCTTTGTTTAGGACAGGGTCTTCTTATGGATCCCTGGCTGTCCTGTAACTCCATCTGTAGACCAGGTTGGCCTTGAGCTCAGTCTGCTTCTGTCTCTATAGTGCTGGGATTGAAATTTGTGTCTTTCTGATGGCTAAGGAAGCTTAATATTTTTGTATGCATATTTGCCATTTATATATTTCTCTTGGGAACTGCTTGTTTGACTGTTTTGATTGGTATTTGTTTGTTTGTGTTTATTTATTTTAATTTATTCTTAATTTTTTGTTTTCCTCATTTTAAAATTCTGTTGTTGATTTGCTTGTTGAGCTTTATATATTCTGGACCTAAGTCTTGTGCTGGATATTAATATGTAGCTGTTTTCTATTAGTGTATGCTTTGTAATTGAATTCTTTTCTCTTTCTCCCCTTTCCCCTCTTTCTCCCTCCCCTCCTTTCCCTGCTCCTCATTCTCTTGCCTTTCCTTCCTTTTTTCCCTCCCTCCCCTTCCCTTCCTTCGGACCCTTTAGGCTCCCTCCCCTCCTTCTTCTTTCCTCCCCTTTTCCTCTCCTCTTTTCCTTTCCCTCTCTCCCCTGACTTATGACACAGAGTGGCCTTGAGCTGTCTATGCCTTTGGGGCTCTTAAGCTCCTGAGCTTCCTGCTTCTGCCTCCCAATTACTAGGATTACAAGGCAAGTGCTACTAACATGCCAGGAACATTCATTTTCTTAATAGCCCACATGCCTATTAATTAAATAAATAATTACATTAATCACTACTTTATTTGGTTTTTTTAAAGGAAAGATCTCCCTGTGTACCCCAGGCTGGTTTACAAGTCATGATTCTTTGCATCTGCCTCCCAAGTGCTGAGATCACAAGTGTGTGCCACTATGCTTGGCTAATAGTTCTGTTCCCTAAATTCTGCTTGTGCTGTTTCACGTATGTCCTTGTGTAGAGTCAGGGAACGGGGCAGCCTATATGATTCTCCCGTCTTTGGTTAGCCCTTCAGCTACACATCCCCGACCAGCGCAGCTTCTCCGTGGACCCAGCAGCAGCTGAGCCACAGCCTCCTGCGCCATCTTTCCTTGCTCCTCTCCCCGACTGTCTTTTTCTTTTTAATATTTTTTAAATTTTACTTTTGTTGTTAATTTTAAGACAAGGTTTTGCTGTATGACCTGGGCTAGCCTGAAACTCACAGTATAGCTCAGGCTGTTCTTGAATGTATCTCTCGCTGCTTCAGCTTCTGGAGTGCCGGCATTATAGCTGTGCGCTGCCATGCTTTCCCCGTCCTTTTCTTTTCAGAAGGATTTAAAATTTTTTTTTCCCATTTTTCAAGACAGGGTTTCTCTGTGTAGCCTTGGGTGCCTTGGAACTCACTGTGTAGACCAGGCTGGCTTCAGAGTCATAGAGATCTGCCGGTCTCTGCCTCCCCGACGCTGGGATTAAAGGTGTGCACACCACCGCTCCGGATGGTTATTTTTAAAGGAATCTCTTGTGCTATTATGAAACACCTTCATTGTAGAAGTCTTGAAAAGTAGATGTAAGGCTGCAATAAATAAGTGTAACCCTCTGCAAATGCCTGAACACTGCTGTATTGGTGTTGGTGGTAGCTCTTCTTATTTCACCCATGAATTTTCTTTTTAGCATTTGGGGGTGGGGTGGAGAGCAAACTCATGGTTTTGTGTTTTGTTTTGTTGGTTTTTTTTTTTTTTTTTTTTTTTTACATAACCAGTGTTGAGTTATACCCAGCTCTGTTTTTGAACAAAGTTAATGAAGTGTGGTTATGTTGATTATTTTAACCCGCAGTCTTAAGATGCAGATGTTATTAGCTTGGTCTAATGGCATTTTCACTCAATCTTCTGTTTCCATGAATAGGTAGAAAATATTTACCCCCAACCTGGCTGGGTTGAAATCGACCCTGATTCTCTCTGGGCTCAGTTTGTTGCTGTAATAAAAGACGCTGTCAAAGGTAATGGGATTTACAGAGACGGTAGTCCACAGTGGGCTTTTTCCTGAGGAGTTTTCCTCAGATTTGGGAGAGTTTTGTAGATTTCTAAATTTATTGTGTGTGTATATATATATATATATATATATATATACACACACACACACACACACAAAACGTATATATATTTACATAATATATGGTCTTGTCTATTTTTATATATCATACATAATTTGTCACATAAACATACATATATTAATAATCATAGCTATACAAACATTTTATATATCACAAATATATTTTATATATTATATACTTTTATATATCATATATCATTAGTCTGCTAGACTCATAGTTAGGGTTGTTAGTAATTGCATTGAACATTCTGACCAAAAGCAACTTGGGAAGGAAGAGTTATTTCATCTTATAGCTTAGAAATCGGTCCCAGCATTGCTCAGAGAAGGCGGGGCAGGAACTGAGGCAGGAACTGAAACAGCCTTGGAGAAGTACTGCTAACTGGCTTGCTTCCACTGTCTTGTTCATCTAGAGGGTACTCTTTTTGAGACTGATAGTTACATTTAAAAACGAAATCTTTTTTTACAAATTTATTTATTTTTTCTTTTATTTGTATACCCATACCTTCGTGTATGTCAGCCTGCCATGGCTGTGCCTGGTGCTTTCGGAGGCCAGAAGAAGACAGACAGCACATTTTGTGGAACTGGAGTGACAGACTCCAGTTGTAAGCCTTCATGTGGGTGCCGGGAATTGAACCTGGGTCCCCTGCAAGAGCAGCTGTGCTCTTAAGCACTGGGCCATCCATCTCTCCAGCCCATTTTTATTGACCCCTTTCAAAAGCACAGGTCAGTTTAGTAGACTGTTCTTCATTTTGGGTTGTCTGATTCTTCCTGGTTAGATTCAGATTAAGCACTTTTGGAATAAATACTATATAGGAAATGATATACTTTTCTCAGTACCCACATGAATTGATTCTGAGAGAATATTACAAGCTGAACGTGGTGACACTGACACGCCATGTAATCCCAACACTCAGGAAGGCTAAAACAAGGATGGAGGCCAGCTTACACTACATAATGAAACCCAGTGGCAGAGAGGAAAGAACGTAATGAAAACACACCTTCCTAATTCAGGAGGCAGAGGCGGGTGGATCTCTGTGGCTTCAAGGCCACCCTGGTCTGCACCGTGTGCTCCAGGCCAGCCAGGGCCACACAGTGAGGTCCAGTCTCAAAAGAAAACAGAAACCACAGTTCTGTAGTTTAGGAAATTTGGTTCAAAATTTAGTCTTTTGCTATAGCTTAGTGGTATGCAAGGTTTGCCTGGCATACTTGAGGCCCTGGGTTCTATTCTTAGCACTACAAAGGAAGAACAAAATCTTAGGGCTAGTGAGAAGGGTCCTTAGCTAAAAGCATTTGCCACAGGCAAGCCTGGTGACCTGAGTTTGATCCCGGGAACCCACGTGTAGGTTGAAGGAGGGAACTGTGTGTTTATGTGTTTCCACCTCCCAGTCATATAATCTCTGTCTCTGTCTGTCTGTGTTTTTTTATCATTTTAATTTTTTTAGATAATTGATTTATTTTTATTTTACATGCATTGGTGTTTTGCCTGTATGTCTGTATGGGGAGTTAGAGCCCCTATAACTGGAGTTTCAGACAGTTGTGAGCTGCCATATGGGTGGCTGGGAATTGAACCCAGGTTCTCTGGAAGAGCAGCCAGTGCTCTTAACCACTGAGCCATCTCTCTAGCCCCGCATTTTAAGGATTTTTTTTTTTTTTTTTTTGAGACAGGGAAGGGCCTTTTCTGTGTAGCCCTGGCTTCCTGGAACGCTTTCTGTAGAGCAGGCTGGCCTTGAACTCACTCACGGAGATCAGGCTTCTTCTGCTGGGATTAAAGGCACGCACCACCGCTGCCTGTTCCATTTTTAAGTTTTAAAAGGGCAGTTTATGTTATTATTAGGGTACCTTTTTTTCCTTTTAAATAGAAGTAATGCAAAATTTACCTTAGTGATATTTTCCTTATTAAACATTGTTGTCAGAGAGATTCCATACCGTATTGTTACACAGTTAATGTCACCGGCTTTTAAACACGTCTTCTCTGTCTTTACCTTTAGCGGCAGGAGTGCAGATGAACCAAATTGTTGGTCTCGGCATATCAACGCAGAGAGCCACTTTTATCACGTGGGACAAGTAAGTGCTTTGTGTGGCCTGCACCGCTTCAGGGGGTTGGCTCCTTGGGGAAACTGTCTGGGAAGTTCTCGGTTTGTGAGTGAAGGACAGTTGGGTTTGGCTAAGAGGGATTAAAACAGGCTTCCTTTTGGCTCATCTACTTTGCCTGTCATCTGAGCTTAACTAACTGAAAATAATGAGGAAGAAACCTGGCATGGCGCCCACTTCAGTGAAGTGGAAACCACAGAACAGGAAGAAGGCAGCAGAGTGAGCCTACCTCTCGGGAAGATGAGGCAGGAGGATTGCTTGAGCTGAGACTGAGGGCAGCCTGGGCAATACAGTGAGTCCCCAACTTCAAAAGAAAACTTGAAATAACAACAAGGAGATGGCTATTTTCGTAAAAGTTCTCTACTGTCTTTTCGGAACACAAAGGTCTGAGGAACTTGCATGGTTCTTGAGAGAGTCGGGGTCCTAACAGGTGTGAGAAACACAGCACTAATGCCGCGTGTATTTCTTAGACTTGCTCATTCGTGAGCCTCTGTGCAGCATCTGAGGAGTATATGGTCTGGACACAGTGGCAGCACCGTCATAGGTGCCAGAGGATGAGCAGTGCCTTTGCTGCTCTGTCATTTTCTGGACAGCAAGCCAGGAGAGAAACAGAAGCTTAGAAATTATTAGGTTGTTCAAGATCACTCAGTGGCTAGAGCCAGGATTTTAAACTGTCTTTTGGCTTTGATTTTGTTTGTTGCTTTTTTTTTTTTTTTTTTTTTTTTTTCAGTGCTGAGGGTTGAACTGGGACCTCAGTAGGCTAGGCCAGTGCTCTTCCATTGAGCAGCATCTTTAGCCCCAAATAATTTTTGTTGTTGTTGTTTTGTTGTTTTGAACTTTGAAGCCTGTTATTTTTAGTCACTGCCATCTTGCCTTCAACAGTACTTGATGTTGCTGGAGATGTCCCTATTGGTCACAGTTGGCGATGAGGTCATTGGTCCCCTGGCTTGTCTGGCAGCTGTGTTATCCACGGGCAGGAAGGACAGATGTTAAGCAATAGTTTTTCTGTGACAGTAGGACAACACTTTAATTTTAGAAAAAGCAGATCAGGCTCTGAGACAGTTCAGGTACCAAACTGGTATACAGTCAAACAATTTATCATGAGGTTTTTTTTTTTTTTTTTTATCCTTTGTGTGTGTGTGTGTCTTGAAATGTTTACATTTTATGAATTTTGGGAAAAAGTTTTGCCAGCAGAGTCTGAAATATGGACAGGTTTTGCAGAAATGTGTACGGCCCCTTCCTTGTCCTCGATGAGGAAATAATGGAGTACTATTCTGCTGACTGGGCTAGTGAGCCGCTGTGGTGCTTCATGCCCACCGGGCAGTAGTGAGCCATGGTGTATCATGATGGCAACATCCACCTATTCCCCGTAAATGCCAAAGCCAGCACTAGAGTAGAAAGGTCAGCGTGAGCAGGAAGTACGTCTTGTTCCACTGAGAGAAAGGCAGACTGGAGCCAGCGCCTCCCCCACTGTGTGTGTGTGTGTGTGTGTGTGTGTGTGTGTGTGTGTGTGTTCACAAATGCATGTGTGAGCACACGTGCATACATCTGTAGAGGCCAAAGGTCAACACTGGACATCTTCTGTTGGTCTCTACTTTAGTATTGAGTCAGGGTTTTTCACTGAACTTGGAGCTGACAATTGGACAGACTGCCTGGCCAGTAAGAACCAGTGGGACCTCCCGTCCCCTCCCCTCCATCTCTGAGATGACAAGAACACTCTGCATGTGGCTTTTTACCCTGCTGGCCATCTCCCAGGCTGTGGCTTTGTTTGGAAAAGCTTTCCTTAACTATCCCAAACTGCCCTCAGATTTGTGGTAATCCTCTTGCTGCATCTTCTAGGCCAAGGTTACAGCTGTGAGCCATCATGTTGGCTTTCTTCATGGCTATAGAAACTGAGTTTCCTTATGGTATTAATATCATGTTTTCTCCTTGAGTTCCTCTCGTACTCCCACAAAGACAGGAAGCTCAGTGCTAATGTTTTTCAGTCCTCAGTTTTGTTGTATTTTTTTCATATTTTTTTGACCTAAACATCTTTTTTTTCTTTTTTTATGTTTAGTCCACAGTGTACTTAGCTTGCTTTCTGTAAATGATTATAAGTGGTATTTCCTCTATTCTGCTGCTTTTGAAAGCCTGCCACCTGTTTGTTTCTTCGGTTGCCGAGCCTCTCAGGGAGATTTTGCCAGCCAACCCCAGTTCAGGGTGTGTGCCAGTCAGCAGTGTAAATGTGAGTCACAAGCTGGGATTACTCAGTAACTGTTGAGGTTTTCAGGCAGTAACTCCTGTGCTGCTTGAGGAACTGAATACAAAGGTGCCACTGACACCAGCCCTCAGCAGCTTTATATTCTCCATCACCGAGGGTATAAAGTACTCAGTTCCTAGCCGAGTGGAACTTTTACTTTAGGATTTGCTGTTTGTGTTAGTGGTTATACTAATTGTCTGTGACACCAGCTACGCTGCAGCCACGGAAGGGTATAAAGCATTACCAGGATTGAAGGCAGCTCGTTCATGACGCTGTCGTTCATGTTCCTCTCTGTTTTCTCCTTTTATAGAGCTGAAAGTAACCTAGTTCTCTGCTAGATGAATATTGGAGTATATGCTGCCACCTGAGATCCACTTCTAGGTTCTTTTGTATTGTGTTTGGAGTTAACCCCATTTTCACCTTGTGATTTTTCTCCTCTTCAGCCATGCTAGCCTTTCAGCTCTGCTATGCTTCGCCTACCTTAGGACCTTTGAACACAGCCACTCCGTCAGAGCACTTACCTCCTAGTTGGGGCTGTGGTTCCTTGGAGCCAATTCATTGTTATTTCTCAATGAAGCCTCTCTTTCCTCCCTAAACCCCTGCCCAGGCAGGCTGTCCCTAACTTACACTCGGGCTCCTGTATTTCTTTTTCTTGGCGATTGTTCCTGGATAAAACAGTTATTTCTTTGAGTGCCACAGTAAACGTATTTTCACCAGGGCAACAATGCCTGTGTTCTGTTCACTGTTCTGTCTCCCGCTTCTGGAACAAATTCCTTCATAGATGCTTACTGAAACCCATGAAGGCATGAAGGGGAATGGGCTGCTCAGGTTGAATGATAGACTGGTAGTGTTAGGACTGAAGATGCTTAATTGACAGAGAAAAAAACCTGCTGGATAGAAGAGGCCAGGGCTAGAGTGTGCATGCAGCTCAGGTTCAACCCCAGCTCTGTTTAAAAAAAAAAGGAAAAATATTACTATATACTAGCAGGTGACTTGCAAGGACTTGAAAAGGGCTTTTTTTGTTTTTTTTAAACTTCTTAGCTCTGCAATGTTATTGTAGTATCGACCCAGGGTTTGATGGTTTTTGCTTTGCTTTGTCTTGTTCTTTTGAAGAGAAAGGTGTAGTCCAAGAGGGCCTTGAGCTCATCTTCTTGCCTATTCGATGCACCTACTTGTGTTCGCCAACATGACTGGGAGATTAATTAATTAACTGAATAATTAGTTAATTAGAGGTAAGGTCTCATTCCGTTTTCAAGGTGCATCAGGCTGGCATTGCATTCATTGTAACCTTTCCTTTTAAGCCTTCTAAATGCTGTGATTATGAACATGTGCCACCATGACTGGCTTTGATTTTTCTATTTTCTTTGTTTTAAACATTTTTTTATGATTATTATTAGGAGCTGAAGAGATGGCTCAGAGGTTAAGAGCACTGGCTGTTCTTCCAGAGCACCTGTGTTGATTCTCAGCACCTGCATGATGGCTAATCACCATCTGTAACTCCAGCTCTAGGGGATGGCTAACCTCCTCTGGCCTATGTGGGCTGCTTACCCATGCGGTATGCAGATATGTGCAGACAAAGCACTCACACACACAGATAAAGTGAAATACTATTGTATGTGTCTATGTGTGCCTTAGTCAGGGTTTCCATGGCTGTGAAGAGACGCCGTGACCAAGGCAACTCTTACAAAGGCGAACATGTAATTGCTGCTGGCCTTCAGTTTCAGAGGTTAGTCCACTATCATCATGGCGAAGCATGGCAGCATGAAGGCAGACACGGTGCTGGAGGGATTCTACATCTGGATCCAGAAGCAGCCAGGAGGAGACTGGCTCTCCACACTGGGCAGAGCTTGGGTATAGGAGGCCTCAAAGCCCGCCCCCACAGTGACACACTTCCTCCAACAAGGCCTCACCTTTAACAGTGCCGCTCCGAATGGTCCAGCCATCCAAACACATGACTCTATGGGGGCCATTCCTAGGGAGACCACCACAGCGTGTGGTATGTGTGCGAGTGTGGCCACGTGTCACCACGTGTCAATAGAGGCACTTTTGCCAGTTGTTCCTTTCCTTGCACTGTGCGCTCTTGACATTGAACTCAGGTTATAAGGCTTGGAGTCAAGTGCTTGTACCTGCTGAGCCATCTCACTGGCCCTGGATTTTTCTCTATTGGGTAGATACATCTTGGTAAGTTCTGAAATTGAGAGTTTGTGGAGAGGTGGAGGAGATACTGTAGATCTGCTGTGAGTCAGACGTTTGTGTATGATTTACATACGATGATATGTGTATCTGGTGAGCACATCGGCTTTTTTTGTTTGTTTGTTTCACTATTTTTGCTTTTCTTTAAAAAGTATTTATTTTTATTTTCTGTGCAGTGGTGTTCTGCCTACATGTATGTCTGTTTGAAGATGTCAGATCTACTAGAACTGAAGTTACAAACAGTTGTGAGCTGCCACGTGGGTGGTGGGAATTGAACCCAGGTCCTCTGAAAGAGCAGCCACCAGTGCCATCTTTCTAGCCCCCCTCCTTTTTTTGTTTTGTTGTTTTGTTTTTTTGTTTTCTTGTTTGTTTTTTGACAGAGTCTTACTATGTAGCTGTGGTTGACCTGGAGCTCACTATTGTAGACCAGGCTGGGCTGGAACTCAGAGAAATTTGCCTGCCTCTGCCTCTGTAATGCTGGGATTATAGCGTATGTCACCATGCCAGCCCACTGGCTTTTTATAGAGCATGTCTCAAAGACCTTGTCAGTAATTTTGTTGTTGCAAGTATACATGTTATATTGTTTCAAAAGGACAGTTGTTGATTATTAAAGTTTACTATTGATTTATCTTTTAGTTAAACAGTGGTTATTCCTAAAATGGCAAACAGCTGTATACCCAAACCACCACTCAGAGACTAGGATTTATTTAATTAACCTAGAGCACAATGCTGGGCAATAGTTACTCCATCCTAATCCTCCAAGCCTGCAGTTTCCTCCTCTTCGAATTTCCCACATTATACTTGCTTTTAGTTATATGTTAGGTCTCTCCTCCTGATTCCAAGTCCCCTCCTGCTGATCTCTCCTCTCCAACCCTCTCACTCGCTTCCTTCTCCAATCCAGACCAGGATGTCCCACCGTATTCTCTCCAATGCTCAGCATTAGCTGGTTGTTTTATTGACAATACAGAGAAATGGTAGCATGTTTACACAAACTTGAGACAGGTGACGTTTAGAATAAAGAATACAATGCAATGTTCGGATTGAAACCAGATAGAGGTAGAGAAATCAGTATTTGAATGAACAAGGGTAAATTGCATACATTCCACAAGAACATTATACCAACAGACAGTCTTTTGGGGTATAGTTATTTTATCTGATACTGTATGTTACATAATATGTTTAGATTATTTTTCACCCTGAGGGGATGATATGCAACAAGGTCTCATTCTGTATCTCAGGCTGGCCTGAAACTCACAGCATTTCTCCTGCATGAGCCTCTTAAGTGCTGAATAAGCCATGATCCAGCTAATGTCACATAATTGTTGTGTTAAGTATTCGATTTAGAAGAACCAAAGAGAATGCAATAGAAAGTTCCATTTAATTAATTGTATTTTGAAATTACAGTGCGCCTTCTTTATTTGTTTTCTCTTTGGGCGGATTTTTTTTTTCAGTGCTAAGACTGAACCTAGCTTCACACATTCTCAGTGTCCTGCCAATATCTCCAGCCCTCTGTGGCAGACCTTTAGCGTAGTATTTGATTTACACTTTACTATTTCCATCTTTCATAGGAAAACAGGACATCATTTTCACAATTTCATTAGTTGGCAAGACCTAAGGGCAGCTGAACTTGTAAAGTCCTGGAATAATTCTCTTATAATAAAGGTAATATTCTTAATCAAATGCTTTTGTTTTTCTATAAGTGTCTCTTAACTTCAGACTTAATTGTATAGGCCCCTACCTTTTAATGTTTTAGGTCACTGAGACTAAAAGAGGCAACCATACACTCCCCAAACAGTGAAATGTAAGACCAGCTCCCAAAAGCCCCTCAGGAAGGCTGGAGGGGGGTTGGGTAGATTTGTGTCCCACAAGCTCAAGACAATTCATGTTTCTCCCTGGAGAAAGGAAAAAGATAATAGACTACATGGCTTGAAATGACCAGGCTGACCTTGAACTTGTAGTCCTACCTGTCTCCCACGTGCCGAGTTGAAGTGTGTGCTACTACACCTGACTCCATGTTGTGTTTTCATTTGTTCTTAAAGAATTTTTTAAGATTTATTTGTTTCTGTTTTACGTGTATGAGTGTTTTGTCTGCATGTATGTGTGTATACTGCCTATGTGCTCAGTGCCCACAGATGTCAGAAGAGAGCATTGCATCCTCTATGGAGCTATGGAAGGTTCTAGGCCACCGTGGGGGTGGTGGAGCCAAACCCAGGTTCTCGGCAAGAGCCATCTCTCCAACCTCTGTGTTTTGTTTTATAAGAAACTAAGTTGAACATGGTAGCACACCTCATTGATCTGGGAGGCAGAAAAAGGTGGACCTCTGTGAGTTTAAAGCCATCCGGGACTACATAATAAGACCCTGTCTTGGTAAAGGTCGATGGTGGGAGGAGAAAGGAGAAGAAAATCAAGTACTATTAAATCCCTTGTTTTTAAACCAGCTCCTGCATGGTACCTGCCGAGTCCTTCACTTTTTCAGTAGAAGTAAGCTAATGTTAACGATCAGCCGCTTCAGGTTCACCACCCAGCATGTTACCTTAAGACTGCTCTGGATTCTACAGAACCTGTCTGAGGTAAGAGAAGACTATGTGTGTGGGGAAGGGATCGTGGCTCCTTAAATCTTCCACAGTGTTCTCTGTAGGGGTTGTGTTGTAGGTGTGCTAAATGGGATTGTGCACCCCACATTCAGTTGTTCTCTGTATATTTTAACTAGTTGTCCAGGGGGTTGGTTGGATTTAACTCCTGAGCATAGTGTAATATTCCTTTAGGTCATACTAGTGTATTTGTATATTTAAACTTAAAATATGCATGCTGTGCTTTTTTTTTTTCTTAACTAAAAATGAGGTAAAACTAAAAATTTCCAGTGAAGCACAGAGATGAAAGGAGGCACTCGCACCGAAATCCCGTTCACAGTCAGTTAAACCTTCTGGAATATATTCTAGAAGTGATCTATGTAGATGCATTTCTCCTAGTTGAGTTACAGCATATCTGTTGATCTATATATATTTTTTCCTGTGTTTGATACTCCAGTCGGTGTCAGTTGACTGAACAGTCTTCTGTTTTTCAGGTGAAAAGGGCAGTTGAAGAAGACAATTGCTGCTTTGGGACTGTTGACACCTGGCTGTTACACAAGCTCACAAAAGGTGAAGGTGACCTCACAGACCTGTTCCAGTTCATCAGAATAAGACCGAGGGGCCAGATTTCCCTAAAATGGAGTAGAAGTTACTTCCACATTTTTTTCTTTGGCACACTGGTTACTTCATTTTGCAGTAAACCTAGACATGTTGTCATTTTGTGGGGAGATGAAGATGGTTTAAAGATGCTGATGAGCAGGGTACTGTGGCACCCACCTGTAATCCCAGCACTCGGGGAAGGCAGAGGCCGGTGGATCTCTCTGTGAGTTAGAGACCAGGCCAGCAGATCTCTGTGAGTTAGAGACCAGCCTGGTCTACAAAGGGAGTTCAGGACAGCTAAGGCTACAAACAAACAAAAGACAAAAACAAAACAAAAAGCTGATGAAACTTCAAAGTCTAAGACCTGGGGAACAGCCTTACTTCCAAAGAGTGCCAAAAGCAGACTTCCGGATAAAATGGGGTCTAGAAGAAGCACCTCATGTGCGACAGTGCAAGAGTCTGAATAAGGAGAGATCGACTCCACTCCAAAGAGAGAAGGAACTTCAGGAACCTACAAAGGAAAGGAAGGGAAGCTCAAAGGGTGGAGACACCTGTGGGCGATGCAGAGGCTGAACACAGCTTGGGCCCCATGGCTCCCTGAGGGGTAAGGGAGCAGCAGCCATTTCCACAAGCACCATGTGCTCCCGTGCTCCCTTCACCGAATCATACTTGGCCTGAGCCTTCAAGAGCTGGCTGCCTAAGAAAATCCCCAGATGAAGCCGGAGGAGCTAGCCAGATTGCAACACAGAAACACAAGCACTGCGTTAAAGCAGCGTGACCTCCCTCAAAAGATCACAACTACTCAGCGACCAAACCTCATCAGAGACAGGGAGGGAGGGAGAATGGGAGGTGAAGATGTCAAGCTTATTGGTTAAAGTAATGATGGGTGATGTGAAAGAAGACCCAGGCAGGCACATTAATTAAATTCAAGGCCCGGGAAGGAAGGTCAGTGTTTTAAAAGACAACATCAGCCATCTGGAGGCCCACATGAAGGGAGAATTAGGTAAGAAAATTGATATTCTGAAAAAACAACAAATAGAAATGCTGGAAATGAAAAACTCAGTGAATCAAATAAAAGATACAGTGGAAAGTTTCCCCAACACACTTGACCAACTAAAAGAAGAAAAAATAAAAGGAACAGAGGGCAGAGTTTGTGAAATACTACATTCAGACACCAATAAGGTTAAAAACAAAAACAAACATGACCACAGCATTCAGAAAATCTGGGATGTTATCAGGAGTCCAAAGCTAAGCAGAGAGACAAATAAGCACTAAAAAGTATGACTTATTCGATGAAATTATAGCACACATTCTCCCAAATCAAGAGAAGAAATGGGTGTCCAATTGAAGGGGCATTTAAAATCCCAAATAGATAGCACCACAGAAGAATCATTTCATGGTATAGTCAAAATGCCAAAGCAAAGCAAAGAACATGCCAACAAAGCAAAGGAGAACATGCCAACTCACAAAAGCAGAAACATCAGAATTCCATCAAATCCCCTGCCAACAACCAACATGGAGTGATGTTCTCAGACCTGAAAGTAAATGACTGCCAGCCAAGCGAGACGCCCAGCAGAGCTGTCTTTTACAGTTGACAGCAGAAGCAAGGACATTTCAAGACAAGCCAGACTCAGGCAGTTCCTGACTTTTTTTTTTTTAAGTTTTTTTTTTTATTTTATTTTATTTTTTATTTTTATTAATTACATATACAGTGTTCTGTCTGCACGCCAGAAGAGGGCACCAGATCTCATTATTGATGGTTGTGAGCCACCATGTGGTTGCTGGGAATTGAACTCATGACCTCTGGAAGAGCAGCCAGTGCTCTTAACCGCTGAGCCATCTCTCCAGCCCCAGTTCCTGACTTTTAAGCCAGCGATGCAGAAGGCATGTCAAGGAAAAATGTCTCAATCATAAGGCTACAGGAAGGAATAAATTTTAAGAGAGGAATTGATTAACAGAGAACTAGGAAGGAATCCATCATGTCCGAAAGGCCATAATGCCAGTAGAGTAGAAAGAGCAAGAGTGTGACCAGCTAGATGACCAGGAACATTGTAGTACTCAGCGCCCGCTGGAGTCAGTTCTCTCCTTCCTCCACGTTGGGATGGGGGATGGGACTCAGGTTGTGAGGCATGGTGGCAGGGACCTTTACAGAGCTGTCTCCTCAGCCTGCAATGGCATCCTTTTTTATCTTGTATTTTAGATGTAATTATTTACTATTTATACAGTATTCTGCTTGCATGTGTGCCTACATGCCAGAAGAGGGCACCAGATCTTGTTATAGATGGTTATGAGCCACCATGTGGTTGCTGGGAATTGAACTCAGGTCCTTAGGAAGAGCAGACAGTATTTTAAACCTCTGAGCCATCTCTCCAGCCCCTGCAATGGCGTTCTTGGCAGAACTAGAAGAAAGCAATTCTAGCTGGATTTGGTGCTGCATTCTGTGGTCCCTGCACTTCTGAATCAGAGGCAGGTAGATCTATCTCTGTGAGATTAAGACCTGTCTGGTCTACATAGCAAGTTTGATCCTCACCAGAGCCACACAGCAAGACTCTGCCTCAAAACAAAATAGAAAGAACACAAATTGGCTGAGTACAGTGGCGCATGCCTTTGAGCCCATCACTCAGGAGGCAGGGACAGGCAGATTTCTGCGAGTTCAAGGCCAGCCTGGTTTATGTAGCAAGCTCCAGGACAGCCAGGACTACATAGAGAGACCCTGTCTCAAGAAACAAAACAGATTATTTGGGCCTGGAGGGATGGCTCAGTGGTTAGGAATACTTGATATTGCTCTTCCAGAGGACCTAAGTTTGATTCTTAGCACCTGTATCAGTTGATTCACAACTGTCTGTAACTCTAGCTTCAGAGATCTCATACCCTCTTCTGGCCTTCGTGGGCACCTGCGTACATGTGCACATACACAGATAAAAAATAAATCCTTTAAAATGGATTTTAATATAAAATATGAAACTAAAACACCTAGAATATAATGTGGGCAAAATGTATCAGAATATGCTATTGGCAAGGACTTTCTGGAAAGTACCCTGTTAACGCCAGAATAATTGGTGAATAGGATTGCTTGAAATTAAAAGTTTGTAAGCTGGGCATGGTGACACACACCTTTAATCCCAGCGCAGAGGCAGGAGGATTGCTGTATAGGCCAGCCTGGTCAGAAAAAGTGAGTCCAGGACAGCCAAGGCTACACAGAGAAACCCTATCTCTAAAAAACAAACAAAAAAAAAAAAGAGAGAGAGAGAGAGAGAAAGAAAAAAAAATTAAAAGCTTACGCACAGCAAAGGAAATAGTCATTTAAATGAAACAGCTTACAGAGTGGGGAAAATAATTTCTGTCAACTATATATCAAACAAGGGCTTAATATCTGAATAGCTAAAGAATGTAAGAATTAAACACAGAATCCCTCAAATCATCCTAAAGAAGAAATAGAAATGGTTAATAATTACTTTTTTAAAGTGTTCCATATCTTAGTCCTGTGGGAAATACAAATTGAGACTGCTTTGAATTCTGTCTCACTCAGACCAGAATGGCTATCATCAAGAAGGTAAATGAAGCCAAGTGTAGTGATTCGGGCTTTTAATCCCTGCATTTGGGAGGCAGATACAGGTGAATCTCTGTGAGTTTGAGGCCAGCCTTGTCTATATAGCAAGCTCCAGGACAGCCAAGGCAACAAAGAAAGACCCTATGTCTAAATAAAAAACAGAAACAAACAAAAAAGAAGAAAATGGCAGCAAATGCTAGTGAGGACGTAGGAAGAGGAGCCTTATCCAGTGCTGCTGCTGGGAATGTAAGCTTGCGTAGCCACGGTGGTAATCAGTATGGAGACTTCTCAGCAAGTAAAAAAAGAATTACTCTGTGACCTGGCTAGACCACTCAGGCCTGAAACTAGAAGACTCTGAGGATGCTGCAGTATCCATACAGCCAAGAAAAGAAACCAGCTGAGAAGTTCACCAGCTCATGAATCAATACAAGAAAAATATGGCACATATACAAAATGCAGTTCTATATAGCTGTGAACAATAAAAGGAATCGTGAAAGAGTCATTTGCAGAAAAATGTGTGGAACTAAAAATGATATTAAGTGAGAAGACCCAGACTTAGAAGAAAAGATAAAACGTTATCTCTCATATGTGGAACCTATACTTTGAGAGAGAAAAGAGAGAGAGTGTGTGTGTGTGTGTGTGTGTGTGTGTGTGTCTGTCTGTGTGTGTCTGGGTATATCTGGGTGTCTGGGTCTGGTCATTAAACCAGAGGATCATATGAGAAGGAAGAAATTTTAAGGGATGGGAACAGGAAAAGTTAGAGTGTGTATGGGACATAGGAGGAAAGACATATTTGAACAAAGTATAATAACATATGAAAATACCATACTAAAACACATTGCTTTGTGTGCTGACTTAAAAAAAAATAATAATTTTAAGGTACTGGAGAGATGGCCCAGCTGATAATTGCCAAAGACCCATGTGTTGGCTCAAAAACATTTCTAACTCCAGTTTTAGGGAATTCAATGCCCTCTTCTGACCACCAAGGGCACCAGGCACAGACATGCATGCAGGCGAAACACGGACACACATAAAGTAAATAAATCTTAACTTTATTTTCTTGTTTTATTTTTTGTTTTGAAACAGACTTTCTCTGTGTAGCATCCCTGGCTGTCCTGGACTCACTCTGCAGACCAGGCTGTTCTGGAACTCACAGAGATCCACCTGCCTCTGCCTCTACCTCCGTGAATGGTGGCGTGTGCCACCACGCCCGGCTATATATAAATCTAACTTTGGAATTTGAAAAATAAGCAAAATAGTGCTAACACTGTACTTGATGGGGGATGTCACTTAGCATCACAAAGCATTGAGACTGCTTCTGTAATGTTCAGGTAAGATGGTAAGATGGCTTAGCTGGTAAGGATGCCTACTGCCAAGCCTGATGACCCGAGTTTAGCCCCTAGAACCCACACGGTGGAGAAAGCTGACTCATGAAAGTTGTCGTCTGACTCCACATGCAGACAGGAAGTGGTGTGTCATTTGGGGGAGAAATGAGAAAAAAACAAAGGGCTGGCGAGGAGGCCCAGCAGGTAAAGGTACCTGCTACCAAACCTGAGGACCAGATCTGATTCCTGGCACCCACGTGGTGGAAAGAGCAGGCAGACTTTTTAAATTGACCTCTAGTCTGCATGAGTGCACTGTGATACATACATATACATGTATAATTGTAATTTTGAAAATTTTAAAAGTCCCCATCAGAGTAAAACACTAAAAAGGTTCATAAAGATTAGGTGGGTATTTTCCTGTAAACTTGAATGTTGCAAACATTCATTTTAGGGTGAACTAGAAGGTAAACAAAGGTCTAGATTATAAACCAGGGTTAGATGATTTATATTTCCTGATAATAAATATGTTACTGTGTAAATTTAGGTTCTTCATATGCCACAGATTATTCAAACGCCAGTACAACTGGATTTTTTAATCCATTTGAGGTAAAGACTTTTATCTTCTTTTTTTGCATCACCAGTTCTTTCTGTAATGTGGGCTAGGTTCTTCTTTATTTGGCTGTAATTGACAGCTCTTGCATATGTCTGTTGCATATAATGTGATGTTTTGGAATGTGGGTAGAGGTGTGAAGCACTCAGGTTTGCCTATCCTGACGCCATCTTTCTGTGTGCAGATGTGTTGGAGCAAGCTCTTAGCCACTATAGTTTCCATACCTATCTCCATCCTGCCGCCCGTGAAGGATACAAGGTAAACCTGAGCATCAGAAACAGAGCTGCACAATTGCCTTTGAATTCTTATTGCTTGGCTGGGGAAATATTTATTTATTTATTTAACATGCTTGACATGCTTTTGTATCCGTTCTGTAACTCTGTGGTCTACGTGAAAAGCAGTTTGTTAAATTTTAGAATGTGTCCAGAGTTACAATTAACTCTTTCGTCAATCTCATTTAAAGCCATAATTTTGGGACAGTGGATGAAGAGATATTCGGCGTGCCTATACCAGTTGTTGCCTTGGTAAGTAGAAGACATGGGAGTAGAAATGAAACTAATATGTTTGGATAGGTTGGGACTAGCTTTAAGAGGAAAAAAGGTTGTTAGTAAAATGAAACTAATGCCTGAGCCAGGTATGGTTTATGACATGAGTGCTTTAAGACTTCTAATTTTATTTATTATGCCTCTGTCACTCTTAGTAAGAGAGAAATTTGTGAAATCGGTTATCTTGACAGATGAATGAAACCTCTAAGGTGAAAAATGAAAATTAAAAAGCACAGCTTTTGAAATTACTTTGTACAGTCTTTCTACTGACATTTCTACAGTCACCTCACATTCATAAAAGTCATGAACTAGACTGCCGCCAGAAGTCCTGACCAGTAAGTTGCCTGCAAGGCTGGCCCAGAGAGACCCTTGAGCTATGCAGCTATTGTCTTTGGGGTTTATTTTTAACTTAAAGAAACGGCAAACCAGCAAATGAAATACGTACTCGTGAGAATCATATAAACGGGGGGTGGCTGTAATGAAGTAGGTGGTGGCAGAGCATGCAGCTGACACTTGAACTCCTTGGCAGGTTGGTGACCAGCAGTCGGCCATGTTTGGAGAGTGCTGCTTCCAGACAGGAGATGTGAAACTAACCATGGGAACCGGGACGTTTTTGGATATTAATACTGGAAACAGCCCTCAGCATACTAATGGAGGTAAATAACCAGGGTGTGTCTTGTTAATAAGATAAAATTATGCATACCTTTGTTGGTGATGCATACTGATAGACCTTATTGAAGGTGCTGAAATGAGCTAATGCAAGACAATTTAAAATGCAGGTTTATTGGGAATAGCTCTGGAAAGCTTTCAGGGGGAGGGGCAAAGAGAAGGGAGGAGAGAGATGGGGGAAGAGAGAGAAACATTTACACGTAAAGAGAAGGGACCAAAATGTCTGGGTTATGTAGTGAAAAGGGAGGGGAAGCCCCTGCCCTTAGGCTGGAAAGTTCAAGGTAGAGAGTGGGATATGTCAGCCTCATCCTGCAACAGGTAGGGACCAAGGGATGCTGGGAGAACCTGGAAGTCATGTTTGCCTTGGTTAAAAGGTACCCCAGCTGCTTGTCTGGATCTGAAACCCATACATAGCACATACTAATTCCCTATTTTATGTTAAGGGTATTCTTTGATTATTTATTATTGTTATTGCTATTAGAGATAATTAATCCTCATTACCTTTAATTAAAAGAATTAAATCAGCAGCATTAAAAATAAAGATGTTGCCAGTTAGTGGTGGCACACGCTTTAATTTCAGCACTCAGGAGGTGGAGGCAGGTGGATCTCTGAGTTCAAGGCCAGCCTAGTCTACAGAGTAAGTCCCAGAACAGCCAGGGCTACACAGAAAAATGTCTCATCTCCCCTCCCCTCTCCTCCGCTCCCCTCCCTTCCCTTCCCCTTCCTACCCCTCTTCTCTCCTCTTGTTTTTTCTGAGACAGGGTTTCTCTGTATAGCCATGCTATCCTAGACTCTGTAGATCTAGCTAGCCTTGGATCCCCTCGCTTCTGCCTCCTGAATGTTGGGATTGAAGGTATGCCCACCACTGCTCAGCACCCCCCGCATTTTAAAAGATGAGCATTTAGAGACAAATTTCCCTGCCTTCACTCTGCAGCCTGGTCCTTGGCCCCCAACCCCCTGAGCTGGAGGGGTCAAACTACAGGTTATCATAGTATTCCATTGTCCTGATATAGGACTTTGCTTGGAGACCACAAATAAACACAGCAGTGTAGTTAGTGCTCTGGCTAAGTGATCTCTAGTAATCTTTATTTTGCAATTAAAAAACTGCCATGTTTCTAGAGACATGGATGTACCTATAGCTAATAAAAACTAATAATTGGGCTGGGCATAGTGCCGCATGCCTTTAATCCCAGCACTAGGGAAGCAGAGGCAGGCGGATCGGTGATTTTGAGGCCAGCCTGGGCTACAAGGTGAGTCCAGGACAACCAGGACTGTTACACAGAGAAACCCTGTATGACAAAATAAAACAAAACAAAAAACTAATAGGGCTGAGGATATAGCTGAGTGGTAGAGTATCTACCCCACATGCACAAAGCCCTCGGTTCAGTTCCCAACTCCAAAAACCAAGACCAGGCATCCAATAGCAAAACAAACAGACCAAAAGCAGAAACCCAGACTTTACATTTATTCTGCATACTGTCTGCCAGGCACTGTGTTTGAGTTACTTTTATGAGTTAACTCAGTTTAAACAAACAGCTGCTCTCTAGGGTAGACCTCTTTTCACTTGTAGAAATGAAGGCTGAAAAGAAACTTTTAAGATGACGCCTAGAAAGGGCTGAGGTTTGAACTCGCGCAGGCTTAGTGCTTAAGCACTTTGCTGTTGTTTATGCCATTATGTTATGGTTGTTGCTGCAATGAGTTGTATATTTGTTATATGACTTACAGTGTTCGTGTGTGTCTGATATCTCAGGCTTTTATCCGTTAATTGGGTGGAAGATTGGGCAAGAAGTTGTGTGTTTGGCTGAAGGCAATGCAGGAGACACGGGTACTGCTATCATATGGGCTCAAAAGTTAGGTAAGTCACCTTCAAACAAAATCCACAGGCCGGACTTAATTTTAAGTTTGTCACGTGGCTTTAGATCAGTAGGCAAAGAATGGACCATTAAAATAAAATAACATGTACTAGGAGAAAATATAGAATATTCTTTAAAAAAAAAAATTGGGTTGGTAAAGGCTGGATATGAAGGCCAGGAATCTTCAAAGAAAAAGAACAAGCTATAGTCATACACACTTTTAATCCTAGAACTTGAGAGGCAGAGTTCAGGGACTACTGCATTGCAAAGCAGGTTCAAGACCAGCATGACCTACTTAGTAAGATCTAGTCTTGGAAGGAAGGGAGCAAGGAAGGAAGGGTAGAAAGCTAAATTTAAGTATACAGCACACCAGAATGAGAAAAGAGGCTGCAAGCAAAATAAAAAGAAGAATAAGAACCATTAGTAGCAGCCAGGCATAGTGGTGCATGTCTTGAATTCCAGCACTTGGGAGGCAGAGGCAGGTGGATCTCTGTGAGTTTGAGGCCAGCCTGCTCTACATCATGAGTTCCAGGACAGCCAGGGCTACATAGTGAGACCCTGTCTTGAAAAACAAACAAACAAACAAAAAAGTAGTAGCAGATGCCAAGAAGATTAGTAAGTTGACAAAGAGCAAGTCAATGTGGTAAACACCTATGAGTCCTGCACTAAACAGGCAGAGGCAGGACCAAGGATGTAGATTTGAATTGAGTCTAATTACATAGCAAGTTCCAGGGCAGCCAGGGTTGAAACTTTGTCTCATGACAAAACAAAAAACAGAAAAACCCAAACAAACAAAGGTAGAAACAGCTCAGTAGATAAAGGTGCTTGCTGCATAATCTGACCATCGTGAGTTCAGTCCCCGGGACCCACATAGTAGAAAGAGAACCAGCTTTTACAGGCTATCATCTGACTTCCATGCATGGGGCATATGTCTTCCTCCCCTGCCCCAGAGTATATAATTCAGTGACTTTAAGAATTTTGATACAGAAGTACAGATAGACACCTTCACAACCTAATTATAGATTTCTTAAATTCTTCTCTAACATAAACAGCTTACCTGTTAGCAGGGCCTCTCACTTCGCTCTTATTCAGTCTCCTCCTCGTGTGCAAACTGCTGCCATTATTTCTGTCTCTCTGGATTTGCTTATTCCGGACACTTCATACTCACGGTCGTGTAATGCGTGGTCTGCAGCAAGTGACATCAGTAACCAGAATGCTTTCATGGTTTGCTCAGGTTTCGGTTTGTGTCAATACTGCTTTTCACTGGTGACTACTATTCCACTATATGAATAAACCAGAGTTTACGTGTTCATCAGTTGGTGAGCATTTCAACTGGTTTTTGTCTTTAAGAATTTTTATTACATTTTCAGTGTGTGTGTGTGTGTGTTCCATAGTGTGAGTGGAAGTCACTTGTCGGAGACAGTTCTCTCTATTTGTTGTTTGTTTGTCTTCTTATGTAGCTTTGGCTGGCCTCGGACACCCAGTGTAGACCAGGCCAGTCCTGAGTTCACAGAGATCTGCCCACCTCACTTACCTCTGAGATCGAAGGCATCAACACCACAACCTAGCTATGTTTTTTTAATCACATTTTTTATTTATTTTGTGTGTGTGCGTGTGCGTATGCGAAAGGTCTGTCTGTCTGTCTCCACCACACAGGTCTGGGAGATCCAGCTCAGGTTGTTAGGCTTAGCAGCAGGTGATTTTTGTACCTGATGAAGCATCTGCCAGCCCTGGGGAGTCAGAGCTCACTAGTACCGAAAGGGTCCTGAGGATTGAACTCAGGTCATTGAGCGTGGTGACAGCTGACTTTTACCCACTGAGCCATTATCCACTGAGCCATCACGCCAGTCTCTGTTTTTGTTTTTGGCCATTATGAATAACAAACAACCTGTATATCATAAACCATGTTTCACGCACAAAATGTGAAGCATACACCTGTCTTAAGCCTGCTTTCTACTGCTGCAGTGAAACACTGGCGATGAAAGGGTTTGTCTGGCTTATATATCCCAGGTCACAGTCCTTTCAGGGTTGCCAAGGCAGGAGCTGAAGCAGAGACCGGGGAGGAGTGCTGATTACTGGCTTGCTCCCCAACGCTTATTCAGCCTGATTTTTTTTTTAGATTTATTTATTTTTTTATGTATATGAGTGCTCTATCTGCATGACAGAAGAGGGCATCAGATCCCAGTGTAGGTCTTGTGAGCTACCTTGTGGTTGCTGGGAATTGAACTCGGGACCTCTGGAAGAGCAGATGGTGATTTCTTACACAACTCTGCCTAGGGGTGGCACCACCGGCAGCTCACTGCGGTGCTTCCCACATCAATCATTAATCTAGAAACTGCTCCGCATACCTGCCTACAGGCAGTCTGATAGAGCTACTTTAAATAATGTTCTTCCAGAACTCTGTGTCAAGCTGACACAAAACAACAACAAAAACTCAACAACAACAACCAGCACAATGCCAGACTGTTTATAACGACAGCTGTTATCAGTCGCGGAAGTACAGTGTGAGCTGTGACTTTAGACTTTACTGATTTGACTGAAGCTCATTTATTTAAAGGAAAAAAATAGTTCTGTTGGTAGAAAACACCCTCTCAGAGGAAGATGCCAAATGATTTTTTTTTTCTTCCTTGGGATCAAATCTAGGTCTTGCAACACACTGTGCAATCACTTTACCACTGATCCATTCCTGCCCGCCCCCAGGGCCTTGCACTTGGGGGTGAGCGCAAGGTCACGGCCTTGCACACCAGTCAGTCGCTCTACCTCTGGGCCACGCTCCAGCCCTCCCCCCCCCCTTTGCACCTGCACCAGCACCCTGAGTCATAAGCACATTCGCTGGGGATTGAGTGAGTCGAGGGGGAGATAAAAGAAAGGGGAGGCTGCAACTGACCAGATAGTCGTTTTAGAAGGCGAAGGGCTGCCTTCTCTCTGTGGGAGTGGAGCCTGTGAGAGGAGCAGGGAGCAGGGGCCTTGAGAATTTTATAGGGCAGAAAAGGGAATTTTTGTAGTGGAAAATTACATCAGCTAATCTATTCTTTGTAGGGCCAAGAGGAAAAAAAGTTTTTTTCAGATGTTCTTATCATATGTTGACGTTTTGTCCAGAGACCCCCAGCTCCTGACTTCCTACAGATGCTGTCATTATGGTGTCGGCTTTCTATGTCAGGCAACGGTTTCTCAGTTCCTGAGGCTCTTTGTTGTTAGATCACTAACCCTTGCTTATAGTTACTTGTCAAGAAAAAAAGTTTATTTCAGAGCTCTGTGTCACCAAGTCTCTCTTCTTAAGTACATTTCTTTCAGTGTCCTTGATGCGTATCTTTAAAACACTAGAAGGGCCGGTGAGTTGGCTCGGGGCAAAGGCTCCTATTGCCAAGACTGATGACTTGAGTTGAATACCCAGCATGCTAAAAAAATGGCCACCCCCTAGGCAAAGGCGCAAAGGCCTTTTAAAAGGAACTGGGGATTTCCAGGGGTGACGAGCTAGTCTCTGCTCTAGGATGGGGGGCTGAGGAGCAGTTACATGAGGCGTAAGTTGATCGGTCAGGGCCAGGTGGCCAGTTATCTCAAGCGACGCTCTCCAGGCCTTCCAGCCATATCTGGTCACACTTGTAGCTGGTTGGCTCAGGTTTACCCAAGACCTTTCGAGGGCTTTTCCCAGAGGTAGGGGTTATCCTCAGGCAGAAATGGAGTCTAGAGACAAGAGGAGTCTCTCCGGCCTCGGTTTACGTATTTTTTCTTTTTTTAGACTCAGACTGATGGAAGTTTATTGAATGCTGAACAGAGACTGACAGGTCAGGGAAGCAATCTGGGTTTGGGAGCCAGACTGTGACGCCAGTCTGTTTCTAAGGCAGGCTTAGAAAAAGTGCCCGTGTGGTGGCACACCCCTTTGATCCTAACACTCGGGAGGCAGAGGCAGGCAGATCTCTGTGAGTTCGAGGACCGCCTGGTCTGCAGAGTGAGTCCAAGATAGCCAGGGCTACACAGAGAAACCCTGTCTGAGAAAGAGAGAGAGAGAAACCGTAACCTAGTAACCAGGTGTAACCAAGTAACCAGGTGTAGTGGGTGGGTGAGGTAACATTACATCATTTTGACCGGCTAATCCGGAACTGGATTTTGTTCCATGTTCATTGTATCTAGGTAGCTAGGCAAAGCATTTTAAGCTGGTTGGCTAGCATATAAGCTTGGGGACTTTGCAGTTTTTTCATCGCTCTGGGAGAAAGGAATGTAGCAGGGTATTGTATTTAGACAAAACAAAACAAAAAGTTTTGTCTAAGTAGAACATACATCATTTAATTCAAGCAGAACACCCAACAAGTACTGAATTGTAAGTAAAAGGCTATTCAAGTTCTCAGGCAGGTAGAGCCTGAGAACATGAACTTAATTTCACCTTACAATCAAAATGGAGACTTAAAAAACAAAATGGTTGTGGTTATGCTAGGCAGTAAGGCCTAGACATGTATGGACATGTCTCAGTGTTGGTGTGCCTCAACATTAACGCTTTTCAGTTTTACTCCATAGAGATAGAAAGAAAAGCCCAGAAATGTTCACATTCGTTGTATTTCAAGTTCCATATGATACAATATACCTGTTACAGAATCTTTGCTCATCAGCAGGGCTGGGGCTGTTTCTGGTGATTCTCACCGGGAGAAAGCCTTTCTCTGAGAGCCAGGACCCTGACCTTGAAAGACTCCTGGCTCTGTTTGGAAACAAGCCCTGCCTGACACCAGTACCGCCTGGCGGGAAAAGGCGGTCTGTTGAAGATGTACCTTTAAGTTTGAGTTCTGATTGTAGTTAATTCTTGCTCTATTTATCTGAAATCCAAAACAAAACAAAACAAAAAAGTGAACATTTATTGAATGCATCCCTCTCTGAGAGCTTTTTCAGTGAGAACATTGAAAAAAATAAATAAAAATCCTAAACTGGAAAACAAGGCCTCTCAGACTGAGTAGCCCTGACATTCCTCGAGGCTGTCAACAAGCCCCAGTGATCCCCACAGGGCTACATAGGG